CCCCAAAAAAAAAAAACGAGAGCAGCCCAGTGTCCCTGCCCTGAACTGACATGCAACAGTATGTGGACCCCATGATTTGGACCCTTTGACACACCCAAATGCTGTAATCCATACTTCTCCCGAAAAAGGAGACTCCAACCTTTTGAACCCCTCTCCGGCCCCTCTGGGATGTAATGCCCAAACCTTTAAACCCTTAACCCCTAAAACCCTGAAACCCTGAACCCTCAAACCAACAGCCCTTAAATCCTGAAACCTCAAACCCTTACACCCTTAAACCCTCTACCCCAGACACCAAAACCGCCAAACCCTAAACCCGAATTCCCCAACCCACAGCTCAGGATCCTCCCCAGGTCGGCAAGCTGAAGCCTTGTGGCTTCCAACCTTGGAACCAACCCTGAAGACTGAGGCCCCATAAGGTCTGGGAAAAATGTAAGGATGTGTGTGTGTATATATATATATGCATACACAAATATAAATGTATACATATATGTATATATATATATTAGGCTTTAAGATTATATTCGCATATATATATAATTTGTATGTATATAGGTTTAACATTGTGTAGGGATATATGGGGGGATGTGGGGTTTATATAGGGATATACAAGGGTTTATGGGTATTCGCCTCCACCTAATGAGGGCGTGTACCTACTAAGATTTGGGCATTTTGGTTTTGGGTTCAGATGTTTGGGGTTTGGGCCCATTAGTTTTTGGTGTTTAGGGCTTAAGGTGTAGGGCTGAGGCATTGTAGTTGAGAGTTTACGGTTTAGGGTTTAGGGGTCCCGTGGGCAATGTCTACTTTGGGGCTCCAAAGGCCACATACTATGCATGCATCCCGTTTACACGGTTGTGTAGGAAGTATCACCTGCATGAAGCATAGATTACTGTTATGGGGATGAAACAATGGAGCCATGTCATAAACACAAATTGTTGGATGGGATTGTTGTTGGGGGATTAAGGCAGGACGCCTCTCAGAAGCTTGGACTTGCGACATTGGCTTCTATATTCTTCAGCTGCTTGTTACCCTAAACCCCTGAAGCCTAAACCCCTAAACCCTAAAGCCTAAAGGGGGTCGTCTTCAACTTCTCCCCTTTCAGTACGTACTTTCACGTCGTCTGGTCCTCGCTAGGTTCAGGGTTTAGGGGTTTAGGGTTTAGGGCTTGTGGCAGCACAGGAACGTCGGTCAAACTCCTCAGGGCCGCTGATATCCAATCTAAAAAGAAGCTCTGATCCAGCTACTATGGCAAAATATGTTCGGGTATACAAGCAGCTCTGACAATGTCTGAAATCCATCGCTCCCTTCTTTCCAGGCCTAAGCCGAGAAGACACTCTAGCTTGAGCATCTGCTTGGGTCTCCAGTCCAAACTCTGCCCCCGCCTGCATACTGCTCTTGGTTTACCGTTAAAGTATCGCTAATGCTAGCACAAAAACATGCCCATGTTCTTCAATTTCGTATGTCAGTACTGAGCCAAGCACACTGCGGCTTCACATCCGGGTCTTGGTCAGCCTTGCGTGATTCGGGTAGGGCGTGGGGTTCAGCGGTGGCAAGGAGTCCATGAGATAGCTGCCAGGTTTTCCCCAATTGCTGAAGGCGCAAGTACATCACAGCCCCTAAATGCCCAATAAGTAGATGACAAGAAAGGAAGCAAGTCCTTTGCCTGACCCACTCATCCTGCTTCAGACCAGGCACTCCGCAAAGCTTGCCGTTCCCGTACTTGACCTGCTCCGTCGCCGGGATTGCGAGGTGCGCATAATCGTATCAAGTGGAAATAGCAATGCAAAAGCTCTTCGCAAATTTATTATCATGCCAGTACGACAAGTTGCTCAAGTATTGCAACAAGGAATAGTAGCAGAAGAACCTGTAGTAGCAGCAACCATCTTGAGAATGACAGTGGTAACATCACCACCAGCAGCAGCACCACGATGCTGACTGTTCCAACCCATGTTCCTTTTTTGCCAGGGTAAGGTCGAGAGCCGGGCTCCCAAGCCATGATCAGAGGAACTTGAGTTGGACACTGTGTCTGAGATGGAGACAGCAGACGCTAAATTTCCATCAAGTAACGTAGAAAGAAATCAACTGGAAGAAATGTCCCCCCAATTCCCAGCTGAAGTATTCTAGCACCTGCGGATCGCTGCGTATTTCAGATCTAGGAATAACCCTATACTATAACCCTGTAATTAGTAGTTTCCACGTTCTTTCCCACTATTCCCACATAACCCCTATATAACCCCTACGAAGCCCGTATATAACCTCTATATGATACAGGAAGCTTTTGAACCTGACTCTTGCGGTAACAATCCCTTCATCATGTCATGCCGCGGCAGCTTAACACAACCAACCGACATCTCAACTTATCCCGATTCTCATCTCGATTCATCGGTGTTTCTCAAAAGTTGGATACCTTAGGGGATACGCATATGGCCATATATATATATATTACATATTATATATACATGTTATGTATATGGGGTAGAAGGGGATTATGGAAGGGTTGCTTCTTGGAGGTTATAAAAGCGACTGTTGCCAAACATAATTACCCATATGAGCTATAGTCTAAGCTCTCAGTATCCCCCTTACTTAATAACCCCTGTAGTTAGTAGTCCTCTATGCAATCCCCTATATAGCCCCCCTTTAATGAGTTTAGACCCTGAACCCTAAACCTTAATTCCTATGACCCCCGATATAACCCCCTTTAGAAAGTTTAGACCCTGAACCATAAACCTTATATAATCCTCTATATAACCCCCTTTAAGGAGTTTAGACCCTAAACCTTAAACCTTATATAATCCTCTATATAACCCCTTTAGGCGGTTTAGACTATGGCTCATATGAGTAATGTTTTTTTGGTGGTTAAACTCAGTAAGATTACATTCCATATATACAATATTATTTCAACAGGAGGATAGAATCTTCCTCCATAATGGGCACCATAGTATCCCCAAATAAAATACTGCTCATATGAAAATGCGGCCTGCTGCTTCCCGCTCCAGGATGGCGCCGTTCCGTTGAAGCCAGAGACGCCCTGACAGTTGGGGCAGCCTGCGGCGAAGAGGTGTTTAATGTAAGGTTTCGGCTTTAGGGTTCAGGGTTTAGGGTTTAGGATTTAGGGTCTAGGGGCCTGAATGATTAGATCAGGTTTATGTAGGATACATTTTACGGCTGCCATGGGCACCCCAGTATCTGTACAACTTTCGGACAGAGAGCAGTCTGACACCTAGGCGAAATCTCCAGATGTAGACAAAAAAATTGATGATTTTTCAGTGCGGGATATACAGGGTGTATGTCTTCAGTTTTAGGGCTTTGGACCTAGATGATGAAACGATGGAGCATGCAATGGAATGGAAATAGCCATGAAGTGGAAAATGAAGTTGTAGGGGACAAACAGCTTTGGGGCGCTATCATACATATATAAGGGGTGGGTCACGAAAATTAGGGATACCTTTTCCGGGTTCTCCTTGAAATACTAGTAAAAATCATCATGTTTAATCTATACTGGGCCCAGGTATACATAAAAAATGTAAACTGTTGTTCAACAAGAACCCAGTTTTGGGCCCCCATAATCAAGGAGTACAATGTTTTGGTGTCTAGATTGGGGTCCCTCTATTTAGGGAGTCTACCATATGAGGAGTGTTTGGGAACAAGATTGGAGGCCTCTACATGAAGGATCTCGGGCTTTATGCTTGTCCTCAGGGCTACATAGGGATTTGAGATCTTGTGCTTGAGGGCTTCGGGTTTGGGGATGTGCGTTTGGCGCGTTGGGCTTAGACATGGCATATTAGGAGCTTTCGTGCTCTTAGTTTAGAGCTGACGGTGCAAGTGTAAAGTCTTCGCCTTTGTTGGGCCTCTTAGGTTTCATCGGCATTTCAGGCTGTTCGTGGGGTTCATCAAAGTCTCAAGGCGGAGACACCTGAATGGCTTCCACAAAGGCTTTGTGATGTGTTTATATTAGGGTCATATTGGGTTTATATTGAGGTTATATTGGGTTTCTATTGGGTTTATATTAGGGTTATATTGGGTTTATATTAGGGTCATATTGGGTTTATCCTAACATGGAAGTTTTCATGACCAGGGGGACCCCAATGCAGACCAACCTTTTTTGCAAATCCCCCCACCGGTCAATAAGGACAAGAACAGATAGTCAGCCTGCTGAACACCCTGAACCCTAAACCCCAAACCCGAAACACCAAACCCCAAAGCCTAAACCCTTAACCCTAAACCCCAAACCCTGAACACTTAGCAGGGTTGTTATATGAAAGATACTCTGTAACAAAAGGTTTGTGGCTACCCCAACCCCTGAATTTAGGACCTTATTATAGTCATGTGGTAGTTATGGGGTCCTAATTACGGGGGTTGGGTGGCCTACATCCCCTCATTATTCTGGATTGCTGTTAACGAACTAAAACAAAGGTACCATGGTCAGGTCGTAGAGTACACAATGTGATTTCCTTGTTCTGGTAACCCTCACACCCCAAACCCTAAACCCTACACCCTACACCCTTAACCTAACCGGAGTTAAGCGAGTTAGGATCCGACAGGGATGATCGAGGCCTGCAGAGCTAGTTGAGCCATCTGATCTGAAACAGATCACCCCAATGATGGAGAATCAAATGGACGAGCAAGTGGTTTTCCAAAATAAAATGGAAATTGGGATTATATAGGGAGTGATAGCGATTAGAGTTTCCTGAAATTAGGGTGCCATTCTCAAGATAGTTGATGGGTTTTACCTCAGCGCCGGGAAAACTTATCACAAGTTCCCATGTCTGCATAGGTTACTTCTTGGAGTCCGTCAGCATTCAAGCTGGGAAGTTACGTGTTACATTCATCAGCATATACAATCCCTATAAACTACCCCATAATCACAGTTTCCATGTCATTTTCCATTTTCTTTTCCATTTGATTCAGCTCAGAGCACGCTCGAGCCCCGCTCAATTGAAATTTCCATTTGATTTTCCATTATAGCCCCTATGGGGGCCAAAACTCTAAAGCCTAACCCCTTCAGGGCTGTGAGGCGGTGTGCAGGGCTTTGGGTTCAGGAACGCAGTAGAGAAGTCGCTGAGGAACACGGGTAGCCGGAAGCGCATCATTCAAGCAAAAGCTCGACCCAGTCCCGAAATCCTCAACCCCAGTCCAAAAATCTGTAATTTTTAAGGTCTTCCTCCTCCTCCTACTTAGTACGACCACTACCACCAAGACCTATTTCTCCTAAGGAGCTCCCACGCCTCGCGTGTAGGTTTTCAGCGTCTTGCCGCGGAAGTCTGGCAAGTGCGGAGTAGCTCTCCTGTAAGGCTCTTCTGGGATTGCTGTCTAATATTTTCCTTTAGGGTTTAGGGTCAGGGGATTTAAAGTCAATTGCCATGGTTTCATTATGCTGTCATGGCAACTTATTTTGGATTCCTTAATAGGGACTCAATCCTTCCGGGAAAGCACATTCAGGAGTTTCCACCAATAGAAGGCACCCTAATTTATACCCAAATGGATGCAAATCCTTGTTATACAGGTTCCCAGAATGAGATGATAACAGTTTATAATATGGGCAGTTCTCAGAATAATGGTAGAAGTTTGACGCGGGAACACTGATGCTGCACAAGCCCTAATGTTCAAGACCTACTGCATACGTCATCATGCCTTCTGGCCACCATAGCAACGCGACTAAAAAGCATGCTTAATTCCAGATGAGCCATTGTCTAAACTCCTAGTATCCCTCTTAATATCCCCTATAGTAGTCCCATATATAATCCCCTATATAACCCCCTTTTAAGGAGTTTAGACTACAGCTCAGATCACAGAGAAAGATTCCTCCACTCACCGTCGTCAAGGTCATAGCTCCAGATTGCGTACCTTCTCCGTGTTGCAAAAGATTGCAAGCTCAAAGAACTGCAGACGCTCATGCAAGCAAGCTTTCCAAGGCTGCATCCGATCTAATTGCAACCACGGTTGTCTTTTCCACGGTCTGACTGGACCTACTACAAGACCATGACACTACGAGAGGGGAGCACTTTCCGATAACGGTCACCCACCCTTCCCACTCAACCCCTCTCAATCAGAACATGTCAGGAGGGACCCTTCTACTGAGAGGTCCAAGACACCACTGCAACAAACATGACCCAAACGTACTCAAACAACAGATGCCTTTTGATGGCACAGTAGCAACATAAAAGACTTCTTGGAGGATTCCATATGATTTTGTGGAAGCCTCCTTAACCCCAATCCTAAGCCCCAGACCCTAAAACCTAAATCCTAAACCCCCTGAACCAGAGACCCTAAACCCTAGACCCTAAAACCTAAACTCTAAACCCCCTGAACGCGAAACCCTAAACCCTAAACCCCTAAATTGGCCCAAGGATGGCCTGTCGCGCGTTCCCGATTCTGGAATCTGATTTGCTGGCGGCCACTCTCCCCTCCTGGAGTATGGAGGAGGGCTTAAGGCTTTAGGGTTTACGGTTCAGGGCTTAGAATTTAGGGCTTGGGGCTTGATTCATGGCTTAGTTAGGATTTTGGGGAGGTGGATGGGGGGGAAGCATGATGACAACGATCCTGTACGTGCTCTCAAGGCAACTCCTCAGTAGTCCACACCCTAAACCCTGAAACTCAACTGTGTGCAAGCTGCATCTGTGCATTGGAAAACTTAGGATTGCAATTCTTGCCTTCGACAAATGAGGGTTTCCCAAAATTAGTGGTACAATTTTGGGAGCTTCCCCATGATAGGGATGGTAGTATATTGGGTTGATATTGGGTCTCCTTATTACCAAATGAACTGCGATTGATTTAAAGGCCTCCACCTGCCCCTTCTCTGCCTAGTGGCTCTGGTCCACCAGCATGTCGTGCTTCAGGTGGACTCCCCACCCTGTAAAAGTGACTATAAGAGATAATGGTGATTATGTTAGGGTTCTCTTACATTCCTACTATACCACTATTACAGGGTGGGGGGTCCACACCAGTCATGCTTCAGGAGAGTCCCTGCCCATGGTTCTGAACCTTTTAGCCACACAGGACCACCTCTGCACCCTCGACCCTGAACTCTGGACCCAACACACCACACACCCCCCAACCATAAACCCTAGACCCCAAACCCACAACCCCAAGTAACACACGAAGACCCCTCTAGATTTTTGAACACCCTTCAGAAACTAGATCCAGAGTTTCATCACATCTCCAATCCCGGGCACCGCTTCAACATCACGTAGATGCGGCCATCTGGCCCCGCCCGCCACGGATGCGCGTAACCTGCCGCTGGGATTTGATCCTAAGAAACTTGTACGAAGGTTTAGGGTTTAGGTGATACCAGACAAGAATGTTGGCATGTAAAATATGGTCTAGATTGACATGGGAAAATGAAACGAACCATGATAACAAGATGGCAAAATTAACTGCTGCATCTCTGTGCCTAGCCAAAGCTTGCCTTGGTAACGGTTGTCACTGAAGGTCTCTGGGTACGCACCCAGCTCATCTGCAGCGGGGAACTCCTGGAAACAGCTGGGGTGCTGTTCAGGGACTAACATAAAGTTTTTATAACAGAGAACCCCCAGTATCCACCATATATTCATAAAAACATTATTAGCTAACAACAAGCCCGAAAGAATTCGCACATTGGCTTCTACGGGGGAATTCATGGGAGATTTCAGGAAATGTGAAGGAAGCATCAGTTTTTGTGGCTTGAAGCTTAAGGCTTCAGGTGGGTGACCTATCAATAACGATAAACTATAATCAAAAAGTTGGAGATCAACCACTTGAAACAACAGAACATTTTTGCATTTGCCAAATGTGGGCAGTCCCAAGGATCATGGGGGTCAAGATCGCGATCCTCGCAACATCTATTGACCCTCATTGAATTTAGATCCTCGAGCCCCGATTTTGAAAGTGTCAACAGTCACAGAAAACGTGGGGGTCGAGGTCGCGATCCCCTATCTGTCGTCGATGTTAGATCCTCGGACCGTCCCGACTCGTACGCACCTGGATTTTGGAAACAAAGTCAACAGTCACAGGGCTTGCTCGGCGATCTTTGTAACTGTCATGGCTTTTGGATCCTCGGATCCTCTTGCAGCTTGAACAATGTCAACCATGACAAAAAATTGTGCTGGTTGGGGTCGCCATCTTCGCAACTGTCATCGTTTGTAGAGGGATCGCAGAGGTCAAGTTCGAGGTCGCGATCCTCGCAGCTGTCCCCGCTTTTGCATCCTCGGATCTGAGGAACGTCACCAGTCACGGAGATCGTGGGGGTCGATGGCCGCGATCCTCGACTAACTGACGTCGCGCTTGGACCCTCGGAGCCTCTTGTAAGTTGAAATGTCTACAGTTACAAGGATTGCGGCGGCGACCCCCAACTCTCTTTAAATCCATCCTTGCTTGCAGAAAAAACACCATGTCTGTCAGAAGAGGAGGTTGCGCGGATCTTTTCGTTCGCAAACGGGGGGGCTGCACCGCAATAGATTGAGACACAATTTCCGAGACTTCCAGCTGCGCTTCCCTTCTAGGAGCTCCTCGTTCTTGTTCCAAACGTTCTGCAGAGATTCCCAGTCACTAGTGCTGTTTCGTCGATACCAGGCATACCTCTGGCCACAAGAAGCAATGGAAGCGTCTCAAACTTGGGACTTCTTTACCTAAATCAAGACGGATGTAGTCAAACATATTGCCAACTAATGTGGACCCGTGATTAATTAACCCCTCACCCCTCCTTTTAAAGGTCTTAATATTAGGATCCCTGTTATAATCCCTATTAAGGGGAAGGGTTACTAATCATGGGTGTGGGTTAACCTTGACCTCAACTCGCCCCGTACCATTTCAACTGAGCAGCCGCCGGAGGCTGTGCTTGGTGACCAACATCAGGCCAGTCTCCCCCATGGAGAGCTCGCCGCCTCTGAATGAACAGAACAGCATTTGAGCGTATACTTCGAGAAACTCGACCAGGTGCGGCAGCCCCATGTCACAGAGCAAGACAAAAATTCAAAACTTCAGCTGCTTCGCATTGTGGAAGTTGCTACATGCTGCTGCCAGGGTGACTATCACTCTTCAAACGGCACTTTTGCAGCCGCGAGGCCGCTACCGAAGTTTGTGGTATGATTCCACACCTTCGCAAGAGACCGCAGCATGCGAACATGGCAAGCAAAAGCTTGGGCTCACAGAGGAGACGAAACTTGTACGGAGGGGCCTTCACCATGGATGCTTCTGATCCATCCACATCCACACGAAAGAGACCTGATGTGCAGCTGTTTCTGTCGAGCTCATGCACAAGGCTTTTTTTGGAACACGGCAAAGAGCCTACGATGGCGACAAAAAAAGGTCGTGAACAGGGCCTTTTCCATTTCTGGAGCCTAGCATGTAGCAGAACCAACATGGCCTATACAGCTATAGCAGAACTCCACAAGCACTGCTGACAGGCAGCAGCGCCAACCAGACCTAGCCCGACCACGTGGGTATATACGGTATATACTAACATCTAGGTCACTCGGTTTCCCCAGAAAGCACGGGATCTTTATACCGCACCCATGTCGTCCCTGCAGCATTGCTGTATACACCCTACCATTCTATAGTGTACAAACCCATAAAATGCCTCACACGCGCCTGAGTCCATCCCTGCATTGCCCCCTATGATCTTTTCTCACCCCTAGATGACACCTTAAACCCCAGAGCAGGTGCTAGATAGGCACATTACAAAACACTCTTAGACTTGTTATCAGAAGCATGAAAGTTTCCTAGTTCTGCCTGGGCTTTGCCCTACCTAGCTCTAAGCTCTAAAAACCATTAAAAAAATCCCAGCTACCATTTGTGCTGTCAATTTATTTTCCATTCCATTCTCCATCATTTGAAAGCCCGAAAATACATACAGGTATGTATAAGTGTATAAATATATACATATATATGAGTTTTGAATATATATATATACATATATATATACATATATGTATACCCCTGTATATGCCCATATAGCCCTAACCTCTGTAACCCCCGTCCAGCCCATGCTGTCTACATGACACTGAACCCTAAACCCTTAAGCCTAAACTCTAGACCCTAAACCCTAAACCCCAAATGGTAGTTTCCATTTTCTTTTAGGTCCATTATCCCAATATAACCCCAATATAACCCCAATGTAACCCCTAAAGCCAGGCAACCGCCGCGCCTCGGCTGGTAAGAAGAAAGCTGGGACCGGCAGGCGGCTGTGTGGCCATGCCTGGGAGGGGACAGCAAACAGGGTCTATCTTCTTATGTCAAAGGTTTAGGGTTGAGGGCTTGGGCTTTGGGGTTTCGGAATTAGGGTTTAGGGTTTAGGGTTTAGGGTTGGGGATTTAGGGTTTAGGATTTGGGGGTTAGGGTTTAGGGTTGAGGGTTTATGATTTATGGTCCGGGTTTGGGCTTATGATTTTCCTGTAGGAGGCCCCTTCAGGAATAAAGAGGGGTTCTGCTCCTCAGTCCCTGGGCACTTGCAGTAAAATGATGCAAAAGAGTGCCAACCCTTAAACCGTAGAAAAGCTTCAGCAAGCGGCCGTATATCGCATAGCGGAATTTCGGAGCACCTGGTAGCGTTGTCCAGCTGTCCAAGATCGCTGCTTGCGCTGCCCGGGCCGGTAGAAACCTTGCAGAGCATGACACATCCTCAGACACCTCAACCCTCAACACCTAAGCCCTTTACCTTACTGGTGCTTAAGGGAGTGGATCCCTATAATAATCCCGAAGTAATCCCACTCGCCCACTTCCCCGTAAGGACCAGTAGGTAACCCATTGGACCTAGACCCGACATCCCTAAAGCCTACACACTGACCCAAGTGCTTTCAAAGAGACAACGCCACCAGCGCAAGGCTGAAGAGCCAGCTCATGCTGGAAAGGAAGAACATGGCAGTATATTAGGGGCTATCTTGGGATAATGGAAAAGAAAATGGAAGCTACCATATTATAGGGGTTATATTGGGGTCATACACTGGCTATGGCTTCACTTGCGAGGCAGGGTGACCTTGCAGACAAGGCAGCCTCTGCAGGTCCACTAACGTTCCGGCCGGGTTAATTCTGAGGCGGGCAACAACCAGATTCATTCCGGCATATGCGCACTCTCAACCTAAATGCGAGCTGTGATCAGGGACTGATTTTTTTTCGACATTTCACCGGAGCTGACGCTGCACCCCTCCCCCTGCCGCACTGCGAGTGCTGCTAGACTCATTACTGCATGGTTTCAATTAACTGAAGCGCCGAAGCCAAAGTGTGTCACTCGCAGTGATGCACGAAAAAAACACTGATTGGGGTGCGTCTGGCACTGCAATGTGCGGGACCCCAGACTCCCAGGCTCATTGCCTGCCTGCTCTCAGCACGGCTCACAGCCCCCTGCATCGGGCTGGTTCACCCTTCCCGACAAAGCCGAGGATCCAAACAGCATCTTATACTCCTACAGCTTTTCAACATGCCCTTACCCGGTTGGTGACAACATCAGTGCACTTTGGACTCATCGACTCACGTCACATCACACTTGCTCTCAGCAGGGCTCCTTGCTCACTGCTTCGGCGCATCCTCAGCATTGCTGAAACCATGATTCCCGAAAAGAAACAGCAGCAAGCATCTAGAGACTCTCAAACATGACCCACTTTCGGATAAGAAATTTACGGTCCTGAACCGCGCCCTGCTGCGCGCTCGGCTTGCTCTTCGGCTCATCTTTGGCCTTCGGCGTTTTGAAGCTACGTGGGGGGTATAAGTGTGTGTACAGGGAAAGGTAAGCACGGTTATAAGGGGATATGGAACACAAAATGGCAGCTACTATGTAGGGTTTAGGGTTATGGGATGTTACGCCCCCAAACAAAGGAGAATCAAATGGAAAAGACAAATGAAGTGGAAACTGGGATGATAGCGTGGTTCATAGGATTCAATTGTCCCAAATTAGGAGTACATCTTTGGGGATCCCTATGGACTATGGTAGTTTGCGGTTCATATTGAGACTAGCGCATGTCGGGGTGACAAAGCAAAGACTTGGCCTTCTGCAGTCTTTTAGGGTTTAGGGTTTAGGGCTGCAGGTATGGCACTTGCCTAGTCCTCCTGCTCCCAAGCTACTGTGATCGACAGTGCCCATAACGATCTGGTTAGGACTTAGATGATTCAACATGATCAGCGCAACGGCCACATTGTCCTGATCATCAATAAACTATCATGATCACTGACCTTGAGACTAGGATGGAAAGGTAGCAACGCACAGGAAAGACAGGACGACAACAGACAACCAAAACAAGCAAGGACAATACACCCTACACGTC